GGATAAATTCTCTCAAAATGATGTGTTTGGGCTTTGCATGCTTTTCTTCTACCTTCCTGGAGTGTCGGATAGAGTTCTTGCAAAGGACACTGCTTTTTAATGAGCCTGGCCTTCATATATTAATGTATAATTGCCCAGACAGTACAGGAGTCTCTCTTCTTTTAAACATCACTATTTTTTCCAGACAGCATCATTTGGACCTAGTGTTGCTTGCTCCAGTTTGGGAAATTCCTGGAGATTTAGGGGTGGAGCCTGGGGAGGATAGAATTTGTGGAAGGGAGGTACCTCACCATGGTATAATGCCCTGCAGACCACCCTCCAAAGCTGCCATTTTATCCTGAAGAACTGATCTCTGTAGACTGGATATTAGCTGTAATTCTGGGAGGTCTCCATGCCTCACCTGTAGACTGGCAAGGGTACTTGGAACCAAATAACACATTAATAAAGAGCATTTGGCCACAGCTGCCCCATGTCTTCTCAAACATGTACCTGATAAAATGTAGTCAGAGACAATGGATGCTTTGACAGAATCATGATCACATGGCCCTGCCTAGGGTTGCCAGCTCCAGGTTGGGAAATTCCTAGCGATTTGGTGAATGGAGCCTGATGAGTTTGGAGTTTGAGGAGGGGGGACTTCAGTATGGGATAATGCCATACAGTCCCCCTTCCAAAGGCATCATTTTCTCCAGGTGAACTGATCTGTGAGTGAGCAATTTGGCTACTGCATAAATTAGTTTGCTCTGGAGCCATCCTTCCTGAGCCAAGACAAAAATGTGTGAGCCAGAGGCTAAAATTCTGTGAGCTAGCTCACACTAACTCAGCTTAGAGGGAACAATGGTCATAGGGATCACCTTCATAAATCTCATGTCCAGGATCAACGCTCTCCAGTGGCAGCATCAGAAACTAGAAGTTGGTACTTAGTGATCTATCTATCACCTTACCATGGATGAGAGCTCACGTGGCATAGTGGTTAGAGTGTCAGACTAGAATCTGAGAAACCCAGGTTCAAATCCCTGCCCTACCAGGAAAGCTTGCCAGATGACCTTTGGCCAGTCTCACATTCTCAGCTGAACATACCTTGCAAGGTTGTTGTAAGGATAAAATGGAGGAGAGGAGAATGATGTAAGCCACTTTCAGTCCCCATTGAGGAGAAAGGCAGGGTATAAATAAATACATAAATAAATGAGCTTCCTTTCCTTACTACATTTGGCAACAGGAACAAGGAAACTCTGGGTCAAGGGCAGCTTCATGCTTACTTACATGCATTTTTTTGAATGGAAGGGCTAGAGCAAGTCTTTTTTTCTCCATTATACCCTATGGGGACCAGGTTTCTCAAGTATTTCCGAATTTGAATACCATACTGGTATTGGTATTAGTGGATATCAGGAAATGCTGATATTTTTTCAGGTTCAATATACCTGAAAAATATGAGGGTTGTTTGTTTTTTTGCATACTCCTCACCCACTTACTTCATTACCTCCCTTCTTTGACCATGTGCCATCCTCCTAGCTTTAAAAGACCCACCATCAGGCTCTTTGGAAAGGGCTCGTATCAAACAGAGAAAGAAACACAGCAGAGACGCCAAGGTTGCATTACCTAAAATATATTCTTAATATCATATAGAATTTCTGAGGGGTTTTCCAAGGAAAGGAAATGAAGGATGGGGACAGAGTGACTTACTATGCAAGAAATATCATTTTCCCCAAAGGCTAAGCAAGCACAGCAAATGAGAAAGAGCTGAGAGTATAGTAGTGGGACGTGTGAGTCCGTTTCTCCTACATCATTTAGTGCATTGATATCTGAGATCGGTTTTGGGCCTCTTTCTTCTTCACTTCTGCCCAGATGTCTGACAGATCTTGGATGAACTGCTGGATCTATGAGCAAAGGACAGTAGAGATGACCACCAGATTGGTACAAATTTAAATTGAGGGTCCTGTCTCACTTTAGGATTTAATCAGGGTGGCTGTGCTAGAGTCACCCCCACACGTTCCATATCACTGCATGTTCATTTCCAGGGATAGTCAATCTAGTGTCATAGTTAAAATCTCAGCCTAGGACTGGGAAGATCTGGGTTCAAATCCCCACTTGGCTGTGAAGCTCACTGGGCCTTGAGCCAGTCTCATTCACTCTCTCTCAGCCTAACAGACTTGCAATCGATTTAGCTAAGAATATCAGGGAAACAATGCTAGCCATGGATGATGACCTCATTGAGGGTGCATCTGTAGGCTGCAACCAAGGAATGGCTTGCTCAAATAAGTGTCTAGAGATGCTTTCCAGAGCATAAAAATGGCCTCAGTTTAGTATATCCTTGAGGTTGGGTCGGGGACAAGTCTTACTGATATTGATTTGTTAACTGGAGACTAAATCCGGATAGCAGAAAAATAATGAGCATGATAGGTAGTCAAGGATGGGATGAAAACATAACTGAAAGATACAATGTATTTGTTTATGGCTAATAATTATATACCTGTGGAAAGTGCTTATTAAAACTGATTTATCCCTGTCATGATTTAAAGATAGCAAAGAGGTGTTGACAAGGTATACACATAACTGTATTGCACAGTGAAAGCCAGTTGTGGGGTCCGGGGGCCCCTGCTGGATATTATCAATTTGTCCTTAAGTTCAGAGGCCTTCCCAGGCACATTAAAGGAGGCAGTGGTAAGACCGCTCTTGAAGAAACCATCTCTGGACCTCACTGAGCCAGCCAACTACCGCCCAGTTTCAAATCTTCGGTTTCTGGGTAAGGTAGTTGAGAGAGTGGTTGCCGAGTAGCTCCAGGATTTCCTGAATGATTCCTCCATCCTAGACCCATTCCAGTCTGGCTTCTGCCCTGGCCATGGGACCAAGACACCATTAGTCACCCTCACAGATGACCTCTGGAGACATCTGGATTGAGGTGGATCGGGGCTGCTGTTATTGCTTGATCTGACAGCAGTGTTCGATATGGTCAACTACGACCTTCTGACCCACCACCTTGCTGATGTGGGGATACGTGGGAGAGCCTTGCAGTGGTTCATCTCATTTCTCCATAGTTGGGGACAGAGGGTGGTGCTTGGGGAGAGAGTTTCACTGTGCTACTCCCTGGTATGCGGCATCCCACAAGGAGCGATTCTCCCCCTATGCTATTTAACATCTATATGCACCCCCTTGCCCAGCTGGTCTGGCGTTTTGGATTAGGAGGATGCCATCAGTATGCTGATGACACCCAGCTATATTTGTTGATGGATGAATGGACAGACTCTGCCCCAGATATTTTGGCAAAGAGTTAGGAGGCTGTGGCTGGATGGTTAAAACAGAGATGGCTGAAGTTAAATCCAGTGAAGATGGAGGTCTTGTATCTAGGCTGAGGGGGGCTGGGGATGAGGATCCAACTCCCAGCTCTTGACAGGACACTGTTAACACCAGTGCCAACTGTGAAGAGCTTGGGCATGATTCTGGATGCCTTGTTATCAATGGAGACCCAAGTTGCGAATATTGCCAGATTGGCATTTCACCATTTTTGCCAGGTCAGGCAACTGGCTCCCTATCTCTCCCCCTGTGACCTAGCCACAGTGATTCATGTAATGGTCAGTTCCAGGCTGGATTACTGTAACTTGCTTTAAGCTGGGCTTCCCTTGAGACTGATCCAGAAGCTACAGCTGGTCCAGAATGCTGTGGTGTGTGTTCTCACAGGGACACCACAGAGAACACACATACAACCAGTGCTCCACCAGCTGCACTGGCTTTCAGTAGAATACCAGGTCTGGTTCAAGTTGCTGGCTTTAACTTTTAAAGCACTCCGCGGTCTGGGACCAACAAACCTTCAGGACCATCTCTCCCAATTCGTCCCCCCAAAGGGCATTACACTCTATAGACCAACACCTACTGGTGATCCCTGGTCTGAAGGAAGTCTGCCTAGTCTTGACCGGGGCCTGAGCTTTTTCAGCTCTGCCCCCCACTTGGTGGAATAGTCTCTCGAGTGAGATCCGGGCCCTGGGGGACCTAATGCAGTTCTGCAGGCTCTGTAAAATGGAGCTGTTCCACCAGGCCTATGGTTGAGGTGGCAGGCATCTAGATTGTATTGGCCTCCTCTGCTCTGGTTTGCTTTTGCTTGCATCATTCCATCTGCACTGTTCCATGTGGCCCGCCCCTGCATCTCATCTGCCGACCCCCTCTCAGATTAGTTACATCTACCTGTGCACACACAGTGGAGCCCTAGAGTAGATGTATAAGAGGCACCATCAATAGTGGATTACCAGTTGTGTAAATTGTGATATTGATTGTAAATTGTATTATGCTTATGTTGTGACCATGCTGTTGTAACTCAACCTCAGCCTGCTTGCGGGGGGTGGGGGGGCTAAATTTTGAAGGTGTTTTTTTTGTCTAGATGATCTTCACAAAGGGCTATTAGCAACATCAGGGTTAATTGTGTGTGTGTGGGGGGGAACAGAAGAGAAGAGAATACTTATTTATTAATTATACTTATACCCTGCCTTTCCTCTCAGCTTGAGGCAGCTTGAGAACCATGTAAACTGCCCTGAGCTCCTTTGAGGAAGGGCAGGATAAAAATGTAATAGGGAGTTAACCCTCCCAAACTTATCTCTTGGGTGCTTCCCCTGATGGGGCTGCATAGACCTCTGGACAGCAGATGTTGAGAACAAATGCTAAGAGAGAAAGGTTGTATTCAGTCCCTGCTTGGGAATTTCCCAGAGACATCTGGCTGGCCACTGTTAGCTACAGACGTTTTGGTCTGATCCATTAGGGTTCTTATATCTTTCATTTTGGATCTCATATTCACTCATATTTTTATGCTCCACCACACTGTATAATATCCCTTCTCACCCTGTCCTGATATGAATTCCATCCACCAAGAGTGAGGTGCCTAACGAAATTATTCATTTTCCATTGTCAGGAGGCTAGGAGTACCATCAGCCCTTCATCTGGATAGTTAAGGGTGGGAGTTATTCATGACATACCATATCAAGCTGCTTGTGGGTGTCCTCTATGGGTACCAGTAAAGCCTCCTTCATCTGCTTGTTTACACTCTGGAAAAGGTTCAGTGTAGCCATCTTAATGGTGCCAAGCATTAGGGTTTTCTTGGCAGCAGTATTTTGGATATGGGCCCAGCGTGATTCCTGAGAAGAAGGTAAAGGCAATTGTGATAGTGTAGGAAGAACTGGGATGAAATTGATTTTGGCCGTCTTGTACCATAGTAAGTTCTCTCTAAGAAGTATCCTAAACTGTAGTTTAGGGAATCATCATTGCTTGCAAAGTAGCCAGTTTAACTGATCTCTCTGTGCTGCATTTTCTTTACACAACTCACACACCAGCAAGGGTCATATTATAAGGATGTGCAGTGTTTTTGAAATTTCTGGTTTTTAATATTTCTGTTAGTTTCATTTTGTTTCTGTATGTTAATAATTTCCCATGGTTTCAATGAGAAATATTCTTCTGGCTATAACTGCAAAACCTTAGAAGTTTCAATCATACTTCTGGTTCCCATATTAATGATCTCTAACCCATATCATACAGTTCTTTATGGAACTTAAGTTTTTGGAAGAGGTAGTGATGAGCTCCACCAATTCCACCCCCCCTCCAGCTGACTGAGTCAGCTGAATGTTTGTTCAGGAGGTCACGGGTCAATGGACCCCCAAAAACATAAAAGAGGGCAAAGAGTTAAGTACCCTTAAGACCTCACAATGTGTGAGTAGATACAGGCCAATATGTTCAACAAAAAACATTATTTCTCCTTGTGATGGAGAAAAACCACCCCATCTCTTACCCAGACGATGACTTCACTGCGAGCATGGTCAAAACGCATCTGTAGGCGGGCTAGCTCATTGTTGTGTTGCAAGACCTCATCGTCTTTCTCCTCTTTGTAACGGGAGAGACGGACCTTGGCTTGCTCTATCATCTCCAGCCCTTCCTGCGCTGACTGCACGAGGTCTCGGTGCATCCCGACCAGTGTCTTGTAGCGGCCAATGACCTCCCGGATCTCTTCAAACTGCAAGGGATGTCTTGCATTACTGTTCTGCACATGAGGGCCGGAAGCGGGGCAGCCGGAAGCAGGGGGCGGGGCTTTGTCATGTGCTCTGCCCCCCGCACCTCACCCAGGGTAATGGCGATCCCCCGCGATTCACCCCAAATCGACCTCTGGTTTCATTTTGTTGCTGTATATTAATAATTTCCCGTGGTTTCAATGAGAAATACTCTTCTGGCTATAACTGCAAAACCTTAGAAGTTTCAATCACACTTCTGGTTCCCACATTAATGATCTCTAACCCATATCACACAGTTCTTTATGGCACTTAAGTTTTGGAAGAGGTAGTGATGAGCTCCACCAATTCCACCCCCCCTCCAGCTGACTGAGTCAGCTGAATGTTTGTTCAGGAGGTCACGGGTCAATGGACCCCCAAAAACATAAAAGAGGGCAAAGAGTTAAGTACCCTTAAGACCTCACAATGTGTGAGTAGATACAGGCCAATATGTTCAACAAAAAACATTATTTCTCCTTGTGATGGAGAAAAACCACCCCATCTCTTACCCAGACGATGACTTCACTGCGAGCATGGTCAAAACGCATCTGTAGGCGGGCTAGCTCATTGTTGTGTTGCAAGACCTCATCGTCTTTCTCCTCTTTGTAACGGGAGAGGCGGACCTTGGCTTGCTCTATCATCTCCAGCCCTTCCTGCGCTGACTGCACGAGGTCTCGGTGCATCCCGACCAGTGTCTTGTAGCGGCCAATGACCTCCCGGATCTCTTCAAACTGCAAGGGATGTCTTGCATTACTGTTCTGCACTCCAAGAGACTGGTTTTTACTTATTTGATAGCCCAGTACAAATCACAACACCACAGGCATCTTTAGAGCCACTAACAGTACCTTGGACTCGACACAAAGACACTGCTTGGCAATAGACACTGCATGAAATGCCAGCAACCCGGGGGGGGGGGTTAGAATGGGAGGCTAAAGAAGCCCTGGAAAAAACCACATACCTATCATTGATGGAGACACAAAGAGCCAGCTGGAAAGAAAAGAGTAATCAATGTGCTCCTCCTTTCAAGCCACATTGCACCTACATCAACAAAAGGCAAAGCTGGCTATTACTCTGACCTTGCTCCTCCTTGCCGCTACACCAGGTGAACTTGGGTGCCACTGCACCATAGCTCTTCCTGGCTGGCTGCACATCAACAGCAGCTGCTCTGAGCCCAGAATACCATAGGGCAAAGCCTGGCACTGCCATGGTCCTCCTGGCTGGCCATACCACTGGGCAGAGGGTTGCTAAAGCCAAGTGGCCCACCAGTATTTTCCCCAGTAGCCTGAATGGCCAATCTGACCCTGAAGCATGGCTTGGGAAAGCTGCACACAGAGATATAAAACTGGTTGTCACTCTCTTATTATCATATAAGATGCATTTGCCCTCAGCAGTACTGCACAGTCTGGATCTACAACCTGCATGCTTGAACTCAACAAAGAGTGGGAAAAGTCATCAAGATGCACATTCTCCAGCACTGCTTCATGAAACCACACGGACACGACTTCCGGTTGATGGCGGCGCGCTAGCAGACCTACCTCCTGGACCTCCCGGGGGTAAGGCTGCGCTCTGGCCGGGGAGGGGGTGCGCAGGTTCGTTACCCCCCCAGGGACCCGGGGAAGGGTCCCTGGCCAGGGAATGTTTAAGAGGCAGCCTCTTCAAGGGCGGAATGCCCGAGAATCGAGGTGCTTCTTCGTTCCGGTGGTTCCTCGAGCTGTGAGACCGAACGGGACCAGTGACGCTGACCGGGGCAAGCATAGGAGATCCAGCAATTAAAATGAAGCTGTTAGCGGGGTCGGAAGACCAACAATGAATGTGAGTCAACTTTAAGGCGATTTAAAGACTAAAAGACAGCTCCCTACCCTATTGCACCGAATGGGGAAAAGACGAGCGGGGGGAGGGACGCCTCCCACGTGAACAAACTTTTTAAGCGAGGGGGGGGAGCAGAAGAAAACGCGGAGAAAATTGCCTAGAGACACTTACCCAAGTGAGTTTAAGTGCTCAAGCACATATTCAGAGACTTTTGAAAGTTGGAAAAAGTAAATAAATGACAAAGATGGCGGGGAAGAAGGACAAAGAAAGACTTTAGAAAGCAAAAGGGCTGGAAAGCCCTAAACCGGAAGTTACCAGTGAGACGGCGAAGGCTGTAGCGGAATACATGTGTCCTCTGCTGGAACAGCTGAATAACTTCAAGGAACAGATGTCAAAAGTAACACAAAGCATAACTGCAACACAAGCCCAGCTTGGCGATATGATACAAATCATGAAGCAGGATGCTGAGAAGATAAAGGAAGTGGCTGTAACTACACAAAAAGTAGAGAAGAATGTAGGAGGGCAGTGCTGACTGCGTGGCAAACCCGCACGAGGGCACTGGTCTCCTGGCTGTTCTCCTGGAAAAATTGGGAACCTAGTTAATTGCACAAGGCAGATGGAATGTAGGAGCAATGTTTGTTTGCTTTTGTGAGGCAGGCCCGAAAGTGTTAACGTTATTCCTGCATGGAGGACACATCTGCTCATGTGCTGAATTCATCATGTGAAGCTACCTTGGCAAAAAGGGATTTTCACATTAAAACAATAAAAAAGGGATGACATGTAGGATCACAGTCAGTGTGACCTTGGCAGATAACAGAGAGCTTACACACACACACACACACACACACACACACACACATTCCTTAAGGATGCTAGAATGCTTGAAACTTTCCTCTACGCAGATAGATGGAGGAAGAGAGGAGGGGGGGAGGAAATGGGGGAAAACGGAGCTTATAAATAAACGCTGGGAAGCCGAGAGGTTTCAGACAGTTCCTGCAAGCTTGTATCCTGTCGTCTTTGCTTCGCCTGCACCCCCACACCCCAAGGAGCAGCACCACAGAAGAAGGTACAAAAGCTTGAAGAGAAGACAACTTCTTTGGAAGATCAAATGCTACAAGTACAAATGGAAAAGGCCAATATGGTTCTTCGCTTCCAGGGCATGTCAGAAAAACCGGGTGAGAATCTTAAAGAAGTTATGAGTGAATTGCTAGCCCCAGTGACAGAAATGAAACCAGAACTGTTGTTAAACGAAATGGATGTGGTCTATAGATCATATTCAGGATATATAAAAAAGAACAATCTGCCTGGGGAAATAGTCGTAAGATTCTTGAAGAGGCATGTGAGGGATGCAATCCTGAAAGTGGTTTCTGGAGCTCCCCTGAAAGTAGGAGAAAGTGCTATCAGAACGCTGAAGGATATTCCATTTGAAGTGAGACAACAGAGAAAGAAGTACAAAGAGTTGGTGCTTTTTCTTCAGACAAATTCAATTGGATATAAATGGTTGTTTCCAGAAGGAGTCACTTTCAAGATCAAAGACAAAAAAGAAAAGATTGACTCTGTTACAAAAGCCAAAGAATTTCTAAAGGTTCAGCTGGGAAGATCAGAGGACGAGCAAAAAGAAGAGGACAGCAAGTCTAGTGGCGAGCTGGACTCTGGTTCTTCCGGAGAGGACTCTCTGGCTGAAAAGGGGGCAGCTGCCCCAAAAAGTCCTTACAAGCTACGAAAAAGACGGGGAAAAGAGAAGTAGAGGCTGAAGGACTCTGACTTGTGCCTTGGAAAATGATGAAAAGAGATGATTTGGGGGGTATTGTCTTTAGACAGTGAAGGTGTAAGAGTATTGAAAAAGTATTGTTAATGATTGACTCAGTTTGTTCAATGTGTAAACGAAGGGAAGTTTTATTGTAACTAAGCCAAGGAAGATCTCCTCTCTTGGGTTTTTAGGTAGTTGTGGGTATCTTTTCTTTATCCTGTATATGTAGTCCCCCTCCCTATTTTTTCTGTGATAGTTTTTTGTAGTTTGTAAAAATAATAAAAAATCCCCTTCGGGGGCTTAAAAAAGAAAAAAGAAACCACATGGACACCTGAACAGTAATTGTTTCAGTTCTGCAGTATAGAACCCATGGTTTGGATAGGTATCACTGCAAAAATATTAATCCGCAAATGTGTTGGTTCCAGAGTCAGATACAACCATGGCAAAGTCCCTGCTTTATCTACTTTGGTGGTTTAGTGAGCAAAGATCAAACTAAAAAGTGAAAAGTTGCTGTTTGGAGAGACCCTGAGACTTTGTCTCCTTTCCCAGCAGTCTCTCCTCTATACGTACTTCTGAGATCTCGACAACCTTCTCTAGGTACTTGTTGAAGATGGAGTACTGCTGTAGCTTGTTGTAGAGCTGCTGATGTTGCTGTTTCAGAGCAGCCATCTCTAGCTTGGCCTTGGCCAGCTCCTTCACTCGTTGCTTCTTCAGTTCCCTCTCCTTGTTGGCTTTCTTCAGAGCTCTGATCCGCTTCTGATCATTCTCCTAATGTTGAACCCCCAAACAGCACATAATTTTGAAGAAGAAAAAATCAAGACAATAGGTTACTGTTAGCAGGTGGTGAAGTAGGATCTATTGGCCCCTCATTCTGAATATATGGGGGTAGTTATGACAGAAAGCTTCTTTTGCATGTGTGTTAAATATCTGAATGTAAATTAATTAGCAGCTACATTTCACTTAGTAGCTAGTAATGTTGACTCTGTGGCTCTGTTGTGTCTACTAGTTTATTTATTGTGTTTTACTAAACAGAATCTGCTTCATCATGAACCCAGCCTTGTGTGTGAGTCTTACTGAGTTACACTGTCATCACATGAGATTTGAAACATGAATAACATTGTGCATTTTGCATCTCACCTGAACTCACCTTCAAAACTGCATGTGGGGGGCTTCAGCTTTCCTTCTTTTCCAACCTGTGCAGCTTTTGACAACAAAAAGTTGGTGGTGGGGGATGGGCTGTTTGTCCCACTGCTGGTGGCAGCAAGACCTTTCATCACTGACTGTCCAGTGCCCCGGGCTTTGGTCTTTGACTGGACGTTCAGGCCTTGGCCTGGAGTATATTAGGATACTAGCCTGATACCCGTGCTTCGCTACGGTATTTAACTTCCATAAATCCAGTTATAATACTGATGATGTAAAGTTTGAAATGTAACATTTGTTGTAGGAATTCTAATGGAGAAGATTGTAGTGTAAAAAATGAAGTGAGACATACGTACTTTTTCCTCCTCTGGCATCAGGGAGGCTGGGCCAGCTGCAGGGCTGAGGCAATCTTGCTGAGCAAACCTCCCTGGTGGCTGTAAGCATCCCACCTCCTCTCCTATACCTGACAGCTGCCTGTCCAGTGTAGGAGGGGGAGGGGGGAGGAGTATTAGAAGACACTGTGGAGGCAGGGCTGGCAAGATCAGTAAGGTATCACAGCTGGGGCAGGCTCCCTTGTAGCTTTAAGCACCCTGCAACTGCTGCTGCACCTGACAGACAACTGCCTGTCAGGTGTAGGAGGGGGGAGCATGCTTGAAGCCATAGGGAGGCTGGGCCAGCAGCTTTGCTTCACCTCACAGGCAGTTGGCCATTCCTGATTTCCTCAACTGTCATTAGCTCTCTGTAGTCCCCTGTGGCTGTTGTTTTTATCTCAGAACACTGAGCTCTGCAGCTGACAAATCAGAGAGTGGAGGGTGCAAGGAGGCAGCAGCCTGGCAGCTGCATAGGAATCAGTGGGGGGAGCACATTTTACCCCTTTTGACCCGAATTTCTAAAAATCCCTTCTTAGTGAGCATTTACGTCATGGTAGGAGCGCTCTCCTCGAATTTAGTGTCTCTAGGTCCAGCGGTTTGGCCTGAGCGTTGATTTTACAGTGAGGAAACTGCTCACTGAGCTTCTGGCACAGATGTCAGTGGCATGGCTGGCCAAAAATTACAGCCATTTCTCAACCTCCCAGACTGCCACTGGTAATGTAGTAAAAGGATCATTAGTAGGGTTGCTACCTCTGGATTGGGAAATACCTGGAGATTTTGGGGGTGGAGCCTCAGGAGGGTAAGGTTTGGGAGGAGAGGGTTTTCAGTGGGATATAATGCCATAGAGTCCACCTTCCAAGGGGACATTTTCTCCAGGTCATCTGGTCTCTGTCACTTGGAGATCAGTTGTAATAGCAGGAGATCTCCAGCCACCACCTGGAGGTTGGCAATCCTAGTAATTAGAAACAGGACTGAGTAAAGGGGGGAAAGTCTGACTCAACTATTACCTTCTTCAGAGCTAGAGGTAGTGTCCTAACCAATCCTTTTGAGCCTGACCTAGCACCAGAGTGAGTTAAGAACTGCTGTAGATCTTTAAAGATACTGCCACGGGCCCTGACCTGGAAATCCCAGGCAAGCCCAATCTTGTCAGATCTCAGAAGCAAAGTAGGGCCAACCCTGGCTAGTATTTGCATGGGAGAGCTCCAAAGAATACCAGGGTCCAGAGGCAGACGTCCTCCATGACCCAGTAGGAGTCGCACACACAAAATGCAGAGAGAAAGAGAGAGTGCCAAGGAAATTCAAGGTTCTTAGTGCTCGGACTGCTCCTGCTCAGAATCTGTTGTGCAAATCCTGCTGACTACAGCTGTTCCGTATTGCATGACTCTAAGTTCCTCCACTGTTAACAGTATGCACCGCTAGAATCAGCTTTATTGTGTTAGGCTGCACACACAAGACCAATCAGAGTTTCCTACAGTACCACTCTGCTGCGCCTACTGCCCTCACTAAGCCTCTGAGCAAATTAATATCTCACTTTACACCTACGACCATCAAAACATGCATAATTGCCTAACATGCATAATTACTTAACATTGAAAATTTAAAAAATGTATAGTTTAGTGTTATTTTAGTAACTGTTTATATTACAGAACGTGTGCCCTAGTTGCACTCCAGGACAGTTACCCCTCGCCACACTTACAGATGGCCAGATGCCTTCTACTGAAGCAGACTTCAAGGCCCGTATTGTCTCCTCAGACTGGCAGTGGCTCCCCAGGGTCTCAGGCTGAGGTCTTTCACATCACCTGTTACTTGGTCCTTTTGACTGGAGATGCCAGAGACTGACCTTGAGGCCTTCTGCATGCAAAGCAGAGGCTCTTGTACTGAGTCACACCCTCTTCTCACTCTAATTAACTCGGGGCAGAGCACCTAACCTGTGTATGTCAGTGTCTTAAGTGAAACTTGTTGGATGAGAAAAAGACAAGGTAGCAGGCATTATTCTGGCTTTGGAACAGGAATCAAGGATCTGAAAGGAACCAATACCTGTATGAATTGCTCAAATTTCCTAATGTATGCTTTCAACTGGACTTCTTTTGCACCAAGTTCCTCCCACCGGTTGTTCAGGGCTTCCATTCTTGTTTTGAATGCCTGGAATATCAAAAAAGGGAAGACACAGGCCACATGTCTGATTCCAATGGACTTTGAAGATTCTGTATTCACTACTGTACAGGCACAGGTAGGACAAAGATTCTGGTCCCTGTAAGATGCCACAGTCACTCAGGAATATGCTGAGTGAGTTTTCAGTTAAACAGACTATTCAGAACAGACACTATGGGACAAATAAAAGAGAAAGAATCTCCATAGCAGCTATCCTAGTTCCAGCCTAGAGAAAGAGCCACAAGTAAAACCTGACTTGGAATGACTCGAAATTCTGATCCCCTGGAACTATAATAAAACATGGAGTGGACTTCTGTGTATTACAGTCCTGATGGCCCAGAAAACTGTTCTGCTACAGTAGCTATGGATGGAATACTATAATGTGTGATTACCTGGCAATTAAACATTGACCATGTGGTCTGTGGCTGATAATTGGCTGGCAATGATGTAAGATAGATATGGTGGAACAGTAAAACAAGGAATCCCCCTTTGGTTTGAGAATCTTACCTCCTTTTGAGCCTCCATTGCCTGGTGCACCAATTTTGCTTCTTTTTTCTTCTCCAGGAGTCGAATGGAAGGAGATGGGGACTGCTCTTCTGATACTGGGAATTTCCTAAACACAGAGGACTATTATTTTCCCATGAAGAATGCAGAGAACCTGTCAAGTCAAAGGACCTTGCAGGATGACTAAGTCTTGTATTGACCATCTAGCTTCAGATAGACAGAGGGTGGGAAAGGAGACCATGACTCCTATTTGATAATGGTGCTCAGAGCAGGGGCAAACCTAGAGATGACCTTCCCATTCTCTCACCCAGAAAACAGGGCTGAGTCCCGGTATAGTGGAAGAAGAAGTTCTGAGAATTAACAGAAAAGAATCTGAAAATAAGACAGATTCTGCAAAAGCAGTTGTTGCGCCCTCGGTCTCCCATTTCCCCCAGTTGTACTGCTCAATTTCCCACTATCTGCTGTGCAGCCGCATTTTGACCCGCATCTCCCTGAGATTTCCCCTGTGTCTTCTTGATCCTAAAAAATAAGGATCAAGAAGACGTGGGGGAACTTGGGGGGGAGATGTGGGCCAAAACACGGCTGCGCAGCAAATAGTGGGAAATTGAGCAGTACAACCAGGGGAAATGGGAGACCGAGGGCGCAACAACTGCTTTTGCGGAATCAGTCTAAGACGACCAGCATCTTAATGCCTTCATATAAATATCATCTATGGTGTTGCTGTGTTTGGAGTACTTTATATAGTTCTGGTCATCCCATCTCAAAAAGAATATCATAGCCCTGAAAAGGGTTCAGAAATTGTTTTTATCTTATGGCTAGAGCACCTTATTATGAGGGAAGGCCAAAGGATCCGGAAGGGAATTGGTTTTTCTTCTTCGAAACATTGTTATGTGGCCTTTCCACCCAATCAGTGTCCCCAAAGTGGCAAACATAAAAACAGCATTTAACATTATAAAACAATGTAATAAAAATACATAACTATCAGGTTTGCCAATCAAACACTCAACAACGTTCCTAGACAATGTCCAGTTTATTGAGGTTAGTACTGGTGGTACCATGAATTCTTGAGTCAGGAATAACGAGAAGCAAAATGGTGGTTACAGATATACCCCCTTCAAACCAGACCCCCTGATATCACAAACCCAATAAGCAAGCACCTACAAGCATGGGCAAAAAGCAGCAGTTAGATTCCCAGAGGGAAAAGCGGATGAGGGAGAGCCAAGCCTTCAAGACCACTAGTCAGATAGTGCAGGCAGAGGAGATGTGGGGGTGGAGGAGGATGCCAGAGGAGATGGAGGAGCACAGAGGCCAGGCACCCCCTCCCACAGTCCAAGGCATGGCAGCTTCAGCTGACAATAACAAACAACACTAGAATCAGGGAGAAGGGGCAATAACTGTTACTGCTGGTATTCCAAATGAAGCAAAAAAGTCTTCACTGGCTGGTGGAAGGCACTGATAGAGGGAAACAGACTAATCTCCCTGGTAAAGGAGTTCCATGGTTTTGGTGCCATAACTGAGAAACCCCTTTCTTGGGTTGCCACCGATCTAAGCCTCAGATGGCCAGGGCAACTGAAGTAAGATGACTAGGATCTGAAGGTCCCTACTGGCAACCAGCAGGGGATAGGGGGGAGACTTAACAGGAGAAAGAGGAAGACCCAGGCAACATCACACAGGAAAGGACATCATCATGCTGGCAATATTGCAGGAGTGTTCTGGTATTTGGGCAAAACCTCTGGTAAAAATGGTTTCTACCACAGAGTTGTTGCCCAAATACCTGAGCATCACCTGGAAGTTACTGACAGGGTTGCCAGATCCTACCTGGCTTCTGGCAGGGGGAATCCAGCCTCTTCTCTGGGATCTTCTAGCATGTGCACAAAGCGTGCCTGCTGAAATGACATCAACCAGAAGTGATGCTCTAGTTTCGGGCAAAACTATGTTTTTTTGCCTTCAAAACCATATGGTTTGCCCAAAAACTAGAGTGTCACCCCCTGACATTCCCAATGCAATGATGTCACTTCAAGCAACCTCTTGTTTGGAGGTGGGGCTTCCCCTACTGGCCAGCTGGCCAATGGTGGATCACAGCCCCCCAAAGTGGGAGAACACCTGCTGGGAACTGGGGTATGGCAACCCTATGCTGGCATGATAATTTCACTTCCTGTGCGACTTCACCTGGCCCTTCCTCTTTCTCCTGGTAAGTCCACCACCCAGCCAGCTGATTGGTGGGGGGTGTGTGGAACCAGGTGGCAGAGGACCCCCACCTCCCCCAGGTTTGCTGACAACCGTAAAGATGACTAGAGCGAATTAGTATTTGAGGCAGTTTAGAGAAAACATTATAAAGATGGCATGATTTACTATGCTAGAACTCAGGGTTCCCCTCTGAAATTGACTGACAGTTGATTTAGAAGGGATGAAAATAATACCAAGTTTCCTTATGCAATTCAGTGACACAATGTTGTGATAGGGTTGCCAGCCTCCAGGTGGCTCCTGGAGACCTCCCACAATTACAATCGATCTCCAGACAACCAACCAGCTCCCCCGGAGAAAATGGCTGCTTTGGAGGATGGAGTCTATAGCATTATATCCCGCTGAGGTCCCCGCGAATCCCACCTTCCCCAGGCTCCACCCTCCTCCCAAATCTCCAGGTATTTCCCGGCCCTGAGCTGTCAAATGTACGTGGTGATGGCCACTAACCTGAATTGCACACATCTATCAATGGCTGTTAGCCATGATAGCTAAATAGAACAACCATGTTCGGTGGCAGTTGACGTGAACAACATATGCAGTGGGGATATGAAATGGGGGTGTATGTTTCCTTTATGCCCTGATGGTGGGCTTCTCAGAGGTACTGTAGGAAAGAGGACAGCAGCTGTACCCTTGGCCTGAACCAGCAGGGCTCTTCTTGTAGTAAAAGTGGATCTGGAAACTAATGAAGGAAGAAGAGGAAGATACTTAAAATGGGGAAGAAGGAACAGAGGCAAGGAAATGACAAAAGATAGAGATCTGTGCTAGGTAGAGAAGGCATGTGAAGGATCATATGGCACAAGAGTCAAGGGTAAGACAAGAGAGAAAGACTTGTACAGGAGGGGATGGTTTAACTCACATCAGCAGTTTCAGCAACTTCTGCCCATATTGTATGCAGAAATACTCGCGGAGATCCTCTTCTTCCATGGTGCCCATGATGCCAGCTCACCTACTAGACACCCCTTGCCCTTTTAACCCTAACACTCTGGGCAGCTAAATACACCTCTTTCACTTCTGCCAGTGCCTTATCTACGTGCAGCAAGGAAGGAAGCTGACAGATGTGACCTATCAGAGCCTGCTACAGTTGGGACCAGAGAATCTTGAGTTGGAGATGTGGAAGATGCAAAAGGGTTGCTTAGCAACCCAAGAGCTAGGCTGCGCTGAGAATGAAGGATCTATATTGCCCTTTGTGTGCTAGGTATCAGCGAACTAACCTGCATCTCTGCCATTTCTCCTTTGAGAAGGTCTGAATACATCAAACCTTCTATAAAATTATTTAGACATCTCAAAATGATAGGAAGCAACTGTCGTTTGAGAAGCATGTCAAATTAATCTCTTCCTTTGACTGCGATCAAAACATAGACTGTTGAATTTGAGACAATATTGCAAGATAGCATGAGTCCAGACCCTGAACTGACTCCCCTGAGAGTGATGTTTGAGATTCTTTGAGGCATGCCATCTACTGATTTAGAGGGGAAGGAGAAGGCTGAGACTGCCCTGAGTCACTCTAAATGACTTCCATAGCTCTGGAATGAAAGTTATAGCCAGTGAAGGCTTTCGGGTTGTTGTTTTCTCCTCCCTGTTACATGGATTATTTTTTCATGTGTTTGAACTTAAGCATTATTCAAGCAGGCTTGGGTTTTGAAAATATGAAACCTGTAAACAGCATCCAGCAGTTGTCAGAACAGATGGGGATGCAGACCAAGATGGCTGCTCAGAAGTCAGACTGCTTCCCAGTTTCCTTGGCTGGCACTAGTCCAACTAATGTGGAGAAAGGTTATGTATGGGTGTGCTAGGGAGAAGCAGACTGTCTGTTTTTAGTATGCGTTGAGTTATTAACTCTGGGTTTATGTATTAGCTTTTAAAAAAATGGTCTTTATTATTGCTCCTTCATTTTATTTATTTATTTATTTATTTCCATTTATAGCCCAATTTTTCTCACTGGGACCCAAGGCAGGTTGCAAGATGTGATAACATTTGAATCCAACAGCAATGATTCCTAATAAGACAAAACATGCTGTTTTGGCTCGGAGGGAGGGGGGGGGGGGGGACCCAAACAACACATGCAAATGTATCTGTTTAAGGCAACAGGACAATCAGCATAGGAAAGTTTATCCTTAATAAAAGTCACCTCCTGAGCTGAATCATTACACCACAGCTTTGCTCCTTCTACAAGAATGTCCTCCTGAACAATTCTATTTTGCATATTTTGGGAAATGATACAAGTGAGACAGTCTTCCTAATAGCCAAATAGCCTCAGGCAGACTGTTCCACAATGTAAAAGCCACCATAGATAATGCACATGAAGCTATACTCAGATGAGTATAGCTCTCACAGTGGAACATTGCAGGAGATGCAATCCTCCAGGTATGTGGGTCCAATACCTTTAAGTTGTAGGTTCATTGTAGGTGATAGTTAGCACCTTGAATTGAACCCGGTAACTGATCAGTAAGCAATAGAGTATCTGCAGTAAGGGAGTGATATGCAGATTCCTCATGTCACCCGATAATAGCTGGACTGCATTATGTACCAACTGTGGTTTCTGAGTTGACTTTAAGGGCAGACCCATATAGAGTGCATTACAGTAGTCTAGCCTCAAGGTAACCATAATATGGAACAATGTAGCCAGGGCAACAGGGTCAGTGTAGAGAACTGTCTTCTAATTAGAGCTGTAGGAATAATTTTTTTGCAGCTGCATTAACTTCCTTCTTCAGCAGTAAAGCTGGATCAACTATCATCCTTAGGCTGTTAATCAAGTCAGAGAGAATAAGCTGGATTCCATCCAGTGTGGGGAGCACCATGTTCTTCAGAACCTCAACCTTCCCAACCAGCATTCCCTCCGTCTTGTCAGGATTCACTTTCAGCTACAGCTAATTCAGATTGCATACGGTCTATGGGTGCATAACCAGGCCAGGAATGTTGTGGAGCATGCCTTTGGCCGGATCAAGGCACAGTGGCGGTGTCTGCTAAACCAGCTGCTGCTGCAGGAGGAGAACGTCAATTCTGTCATCACTGCCTGCGTCATTCTGCACAATGTGTGTGAGGACTGTGCAGACCTGGTAGAGCTAGAGAACGTGGCAGCCAGGGCCTTCCAGGAGCCCGAGGAGCCTCCACAGGGGCCTGTGGATGGCAGACAGCAAGCAGAGGGTGAGGTGGTTCGGGAAGCTCTCACCACATGGTTGCGTAGACGGGCAAGGATCCAGTAGGGTCAGATGAGGGGGGGGGCAAGGCACTACCACCAGCTCTATGGTGCCCTGGGTCCACCCAGCACCCACATGGCCACCATATGTGGGCCCCACTGTATACAGGTACTAGTAGGTACAATTATACAGAGATGTGTTCATGCAACTGTAATAAAAGTGTTGCCAAATGGAAAACCATCCCCATCTCTCAGTCTACGGAAGGGACAGAACTGCCCCCACAGAATGGGGCAGCCTATAACAGAATCCTTACCTTGATGGAATGACACACATTCAGACTTTTGAAATCTCAGTACCAGCTTGGTCAATTTAATTTTTATGGCTATTAGGCTACTTTAAATATAACAATTGGAACTACTAATATAATAATTTTATTATTTCATTTCATGGTTTTTATTTAGAATAATTGGAATGAGTATGGCCATACCTGTGGCCCATTATTAATACCAGGAACACAATTGCAAACATATCAGGTAATTCTAGTTTGAAAAAATCAATTGTTAAATTAATAAGGATTTGGTATACATTTGTAATAATAATTTGAGTTTCTTTTCCCCTCTTCCCCCCCCTCTATATTTTTATAATTTCAGGATACAACATCTGGTCTTAAAATAAGTATACTAATGAACCTGTATACATTTGTTTGAATGTGTGTCTATAAAATGTTGTATAGTGACCACTGAGGAAGGCCCTTTGAGGCCGAAACGCGTTTGGTCCTTAGTTGGAAAGTGTTGACCCATCATGTGTATTAATATTTTATATGTTTTTATTAGTCTGATACTTGAAGAATTTTTTAACCCAAATATATTTTAATATGTGTACACCCTAATAAATTTTGTATTTTTATAATATATATGGTCAGCTTAACTACATATGGCACCTTAGCTAGAAACAAGAAACAATCTTGGAGGGGATCTCTTTAAAAATTTACCAACAGTTTATAAACTACTACCCTCCCTCTGACCACCTAAATAAAAATTATTAAAACCTTTACTTCTGTTTGAATTGAAGTCCTTTGTGCTCATTGCACTTGGTTACTCATGTATAAAAAAGAAAAAAATTAAACTTGGTATTACCCAAAATTAATTATCATGCTTTAATATTTAAGCACTATAAGGTTGCATTTACCCTTTTGTTAAACTTTACGATTTTAAAACTTCTTAAATAATATGACTTAAACAATGATCATTTTATAACCAAATAGGTATTTTTAACAAGATCTAAATGAATTTTTCACTTTAAGTGTTATGCAGCCTCTTTTCTCATAAAACTCTGCAACAAAATAGATGCACAATCTACACAAACTGTTATTAAGTCCAAGCATTGATTTTGTACTAGTTTAATCTGGAAATAAATTTTTAACTAAGTTTTATAATATAAAATTGCAAAGAATTAGGAACCTATTTCTTAACACTTATATACTCCATATAGTGTTAATTAGTGCAATAAAATTTGGCACTGTAGGCTGTAATCAAAGTCATTTTTCTTATACTCCTAAAATATAACACAATAACTGTATATCTTTTAGTAACTTCATAGGATTTAATCCACAAAAACTTTACATTAACTCTGGTGTCTTCAAGTTGCTAATATATCATCCTCTTCTTGTCTTGTGAGTTTTATCCCCAATGCAATTAAGAGAGCCTTTCCAGTAAGTGGATCTGAAGCGTGGTATTGCAGACCATTTTTATAAACTTGAATATCTGAAGTAGGAGTCCAGCGAAATCTTAACTTGGCTTCATGTAGTTTAAGAGTTATTGGTAGCATTTTTTCCCTTTTTTCTAGAGCTTCTGGAGATAAATCTATAAGTACTATTATTTTTTGTTCTTTAAATAGCAGGGAGCCTCTTAATCTAGCTTCCTTTAGTATTTTGTCCCGGGTTCTCTGGTTAATAAATTGCACAAGGACATCTCTAGGTCTATTACTTCTTACTGTAGCGAGGGAACCCAATCGTTGTGCTCTGGCAATAGCTGGTGCAGTTCCTCCTTCAATTTCTAAAGTTGTTGCCAACCACATTGAAATAAAAACTGCTAAGTCTTTGCCCTCTTCAGCCCCTTCTTCAATCCCACAGAATTTAAGATGTAATTTCTCCATTTATTTTCCAATATAGCTATACGATTTAAAGTAAGTTGTTCGGATGATTGTAATGACCTTACCTCCCCCTGTAGTGAAAGTGTCATCTCGGAAGCTTCTTCCGCCATTTTAGAAGCTTCTTTGACTTCTTTAACTAATTCAGAAAGCGACACTTGCATAGGTTTCAAAATATCAGCAACTAAATTCACCATATCTTTAAGTAGTTCAGTTCTTAGATCCTGAAGATAGTTTTTTGTAATTTGAGTACTTTCTGTATTCGGGGAGGCAGGATTTAAGTTGGGTGTGGATTTATCCGGTGCCATTTTGTCTTCAGTCGTCGGGGCCGAGTCGGGAGTCTTCAAAGGAGTATTAGGCAAAAAAAAAAAATGCCTTCACTGTTTGATTTGCGCTCCGAGTCTTCACTGCTGCTGCTTCTGTATGCCTGCGCAAACCTTTTTTCGGCATCAAGGTTTGTAAAGGTGGTCTCAAGTTGATTTAAGGTGCAAGAGGTCGAGAGCTCTTCTTTCACGCATCCACCATGCGTCTCGTAGCTTCGCCCTCCTCTGGACCTTCTTAAAGATAAAGAATTTGTTTTAAAAACTAATATCGAAATACAAGAGTTCTTCAAAAGAAACATATTAGAAGAAACCTCAATTAATGTTG